CGCAAATCCCTTAAGGCTACACATCACTGTGTGATTATGGTCATTCAGGAATTTTCAAATAACAGTTTCTGGTAACACTCCACTCCTGCCTTACATCCCTGTACGTGTCAGAAGCACTTACATTATAACCCAAAAGCTGGAGGTTTCTACCCTCTCCTTCAAGCTCATACCTCAGGCAAAGGAGGTTCATTATATTTCATGGCAGGTTTGGCATTAATAGCTGCGACAGAGAGTTCCAAAGGCAGAGAGGAATACTACCATCCACCATCAGGAACTGGCAGCAGTGTTTCTTTCCCACAGGTAGGAACTAAAATCTTATTCCTCAAAACAACCACCTCCCTGGAAGCACAAGCATCTGGTATCTCAGCGATGCATAACCTGCAGCTCCCAACATGCTGTGCCATCTCCACCACCAGCCACCTCTCAGAGCTTTCACTTCACACACCAGCAACAAAGCAGCAAGCAAGAGGAAGAGATTCCAGCCCAGAATCCCTCAGGGAGAGGCACACACCACATAAGCACTGTCCTCAGCATGAAGCACCAGTATCAAGTGGTATATTCCTCAGTTGGGAAGACCTGACTATAAAAAACATGCATTAACGACAAACACAAAAGTTTTACACAGTGCACATGTCCCTTCAGGAGGGTGAATCAATGACAGAGGAGACATTTCTGCCTGTCATGTATGTACAGCCTTGAATCGGCACCTCAGGAGCCCACAAACAGAACCATCTCAGTTCATAAACAGCCCTTAACGACAGCAGGGAACCAACTCCTTAAAAGCCCTGCGCTGCCTCCCTGGGCACAGCAGCCTGCGCGGTTCTGCCCCTTACCCGAGCTCCTCCATGGCCAAGGCCACCTGCACCGCCCGGGCAGCCCTGAATCTCCAGGGGCTTTGCCTCCTGCTCCGGAAGAGCCTGGCACAGCTCTCGGTGAGTGCACGGCCACGGGAGGATGCTCGCGGGACACCTGCGGCCTCGGGCAGGTGCGAAGGGACCGAGGGCAGTGCCGGGAGCAGCTCCACATTTCCGTGCTCCAGACAAGGGAGCCGCTCTGTCCCGCCGGGCCCCGCAGCATCCCTGCCCGGAGCACTGCCGATGCTGGGCAGGGTACGGGGGGTGCTGCCACCCCCTCAGCCTCCAGCTGCCACCGGCGACCCCCGGGGACCCCGCGGGGCACACGGGCCGGCGGGAGGAGCCCCCGCTCCGGCCAAGCCCTGGGGGCGTCTCTGCCCCTTCGAGGGCAGGGGAGGGAAGCGGCTGCCAGAGCCTCCCCACATGGCCCCGGGGGGGTGATAAGGGGGGCCCGACCCTCCCAAGGGGACGGGGAAAGGGAATTGGGGGCCGAAGGGGGTGCGGGCGGCAGGCCCAGCTCGGCCCCGCGCACTCACCCGCGGGCTGCCCGGGCGCGGCCGGCGGCGGCAGCAGGAAGAGGAGGAAGATGAGGAAGAGTAGGAGGCGACAGAGGCAGCTCCAGGCCCGGGCCATGACACTCCTTACCCCCATCGCCCCTCCCGTGGGGCGCTGGGTCCGGCCGGCGGCCCCGCGGCCTTATGGAGCCGGGCCGGGGCCTGCGCTGCACCGCCCCGGGGCGGAGCCGTCCGCCCGCCCGCCCAGGCCCGCCTGCCCCGCACGGCCCGGCCCGGCCCCCAGCACGGCCCCGGACAGCGGCACGGCCCGGAACCCAGCACGGCCCCGGACAGCGGCACGGCCCGGAACCCAGCACGGATACCTCTGTGCCCTGTACAAATAACGCACAAACATGAATCATCCTGTGGTTCCTGCCTGAGGGGCATGAGATTCGCAGGTTCAAACAAGAGCCACATCCATCTCCCCTGGCTTCTCCCGGCACTCGGCAGCGCTGCTGCAGCCCTGCGGTACGAGGCACCGTAAGCGCCCCTCGGGGCTCCGGACGCGGCACCGCCGGGACAGCTGAGCACCCGGCCCGGGTCAATCAAATCCCGCAGGGGGAGACATCCCCGTCAGCAGGCACAGTGGGAGCTGCTCTGGGAGAAACAGGGAAAACTAACTAATAAATTCTGGAGGTCTGCAATGTCTGAAGCCACAAATGAGACCTCGGAGCCGAGCACTGGACTGGGGCTGTTCGCTGGTTCCAGCACGAACTTTCTAACTAGAATAAGGCACAGTGAGGAAACCCATTGCAGTGAGATTTCCTGACATCCAAGCACAGACATTTTGTCCTTCCCGTGGCTGTGACAGGAGCGATTCTCCCTTAAATCGACACGAAGGGCAGACACGGGGAATGGAGTCAATTTACTACGGAAAAGAGCACAAATGCACCCCAACCTGGGCTGCTTCCCGTTCCCACAGGGCGGGGTGACACTGGTGGGAGCCGCGCAGTACAAAGGCCAGCTCGGACGGAGTCAGTCGCTGATGTGGCCGCCCCGATGCCCGTTAACAGCAACACAGACCCCTGAGAGCACTTCTCCGGCTCTAAGGTGTCTGCTCTTCGGGTGAGCGCGGCGGGCACCACCCGAGGGAAGGGTCCCCGAGCCCCGGTTGAGCCCCGGTGGAGCCACAGCGGCCCCGGGACCCGGCCCGAGACCGGCGCACGCCGGGGAGCCCGCGCGCCGCACCAGCGCCCCGCCCCTCGCCTTCGCCCATTGGCCGCCAGCCCCCCCAGCCAGCCAATCAGCGCCTCGCCTGGGCGCACTCCCTCCGCCACGCCCTTCGCTGCCGTTTCCGCAGCTTCTTCCGCCTCCGCTCTGACTGCCTGCGAGCGGCGGGCGCCCATTGGCTGCGGCCGGCTCGGCGGCGGGCGCCCATTGGCTGCGGCCGGCGGGGCGGGGTGGCGGCGGGCGCCCATTGGCTGCGGCCGGCGCGGCCCGAAGGCGAGCGGGGCGGCGTTGCCGCCATGGCGCCGCCCGTGGGGTACGCGCTGCTGTGCGGGCAGGCCGCGCTCCTGCTCGGGAACCTGCTGCTGCTGCACGGCCGCGGCCTCCCGGGCAACGACACCGAGCCCCGGGAGCTGCCGCCGGGGCCGCCCGCCGCCGCCTGGGCTTACAGCGATCCGCGGGCGCCGCTCGTTCTGTGCACCTACCTGTGAGCGCCGGGCCGGGCCGGGGGGGCGCCGCGGCCGCCCGGCCGCCCTCACCGCCCGCTCCGTTCCCGCAGCCCCGATGAGTTCGTGGAGTGCGATGAGCCGGTGGACCATGGCGGGAACGCCACGGCGCAGCAGGAGCTGGGGCACGGCTGCGTGAAGGTGAGGGCGGGGCGGGGG